CTGTCCAAGTATTTCCAGTGGTTGTCCTTTCAGGCTCGTTGCCAGGTACACTGCTTTCTGCTCCTCTGTCCATCCATTCATTTCTGCCAGGAGCTCAAATTGTGCTCTATATGTTTCCCCCAGTGCCTTCGCATCGAATTCCTGTGGCTTCCTTCGTACTAGATCCCCCTATTGCTGACACTCGTGTCTAGAATGTGACTTCTGGCAGGACTAAAGATGTTTGCATTAGAGTTTAGCTGCGGGGTCTTGAAGAGGATTCCTGTTGTCAGGGCTGATTAGGTCCATGATTAATATATTCTCCCTTTGTTTATTTTTTCTCTGCTGTAGTCTCTCTTCTTGTTCATTTTCTTTCTCCTCCAACCACTGCTGTAGTCTCTCTTCTTGTTTATTTTCTTTCTCCTCCAACCACTGCTGTAGTCTCTCTTCTTGTTTATTTTCTTTCTCCTCCAACCACTGCTGTTGTCTCTCTATTTTTATTACATAAACTGTATCTTATGGTCAGTTGTGCTGGATATTGTATAGTGATTATTATATAAACTGTGTCTTATGGTCAGTTGTGCTGGATATTGTATAACTGTTATTATATAAACTGTGTTTTAAGGTTAGTTGTGCTGGATATTGTATAACTATTATTATTATAGAAACTGTGTCTTATGGTCAGTTGTGCTGGATATTGTATAACTATTATTATATAAACTGTGTCTTAATGTCAGTTGTGCTGGATATTGTATAGTGATTATCATATAAACTGTGTCTTGTGGACAGTTGTGCTGGATATTGTATAACTATTATTTTATAAACTGTGTCTTATGGTCACTTGTGCTGGATATTGTATAGTTATTATTATTATATAAATTGTGTCTGATGGTCAGTTGTGCTGGATATTGTATAACTATTATTATATAAACTGTGTCTTATGGTCACTTTGGCTGGATATTGTATAGTGATTATTATATAAACTGTATCTTATGGTTAGTTGTGCTGGATATTGTATAATTATTATTATATAAACTGTGTCTTATGGTCAGTTTATTCTTTCTCAATACAACTTTGCAATACACAGAATTTCCATAGTCACTTTTACTCAAACACACGCTATAATTCACAACGATTCACGCACTTTACTTACGGTCACTACCGCTCACTTGACTCGATTATCTGTCTCTATATCTCCCTGAGGGATCAGTTTGTAGACGCCTTGAACAGTCCGCAACTGAAAATACAAGTAAAGCAAGCACACCCCTCTACTATGCAGGATGCAATGGCCAAAGCTCTTGAATTCGAATCCTATGTTAAGTCCAGCATAGAGGTACCAAGGTTGGTACAGTCATCAGAATTCAAGGCCAGAAAAGGTTAGCTTTCAGAGAGGTTTGAGGGACTTTGCTGGCACTGTAACAAACCCGGGCACAAGAATGCTCAATGCGGGAAACTTCAACACAGGGAAGATACCACGGCAGGAAAGGCTGCTACCTAGAAAGGTTGTTGGAACTGTGGAGAGCAAGGACATATGAGGAGCCAGTGTAAGAAGAATATTACCAATAAGTCAGCCTCGGAGAAACCAGTAGTGGTTGGTGTTGAGGTACAGCCACCAACCCCCATCGTGAAAATCCCAGCAGCTAAGTGTAAAATGCCAAGCATGCATAGTGTCTACGTGACAGGAAAGCTGGATGGCCAAAATTCAACTTTTTCATATATTCTGCATCTCAGCAAACCCTTGTGAGTATCAAGATGATAGATCACAAAGGAGTACCAGAAGCCATACAGAAGCTATGTGGTGCATACACCACTAGCTCTTACAAAACATATATAGGGGCTACAAATATCAATAGCTCTTACAAATAACATCTACAGGGGAGAATGTGTTTTTGCAGTGGGATCATGCAAACTGTACAAGGGCTATATGCACTGTTCAACAACTCACAACCAACTCTTGGGTTACTATTTCCTTACAGTAAGATTTGACCATCATCTTTATAATGCACCCAATGTGCAGAATACGATTTTGTTTTTTTTTGGTTATATACAAATCCAAATTCTGACATGCTAACCAATAGGTCTAAGTTGCCTCATGGTAGATAAAAACTACCCAATCAAAGGTAAAAGTATCTGTATTATGTCTTGAGATGGGCTTACTCTCTAGGATAAAAATCTGATCATACATAAAAGTATCTGTATCATTTCTTGATAAGGGCTTACCATCCAAAAAGTGGATCTAGACACTAGTTATTGATATTAGCAGCTGAGGAACACAAAGCCTTGCACTTTGGATACAAGCGAACAGTATTGTTAAGGGCCCATATGAAAATTTAATTTAATACCATATTTGCTGTAAGTAAACTGATGTTTTATTAGTGTTTTGCACTTAGTTTTCATCCTATAGAAAGTGGGTTGATCTGACAGATTGAAAGCGTGATATAGCTCACGAAAACTGAGAAATAGTTTAATCTATTACATTTAATTTTTTATGAACAGAACACAAATTATATTTCACATTAATCAGCCACAAATATCTTTCTAAAAGATATTCAACTTGTTGCTTACATTTGATCATTACTGATATGACAGGAAGTTGCTACATGAGCCTAATGATTACTAAATTATATTTTGTGCTGGCTTTTTTAAAAAAAATATTACTCATTTTACTACATCAAAAAATGATTTTATTGATCATGAAAAATTAAACATATCTCAATATATCCTCACAGTATGAACAGTACGTAAAATAATTTGCACATGGAACACAGTTCATTTGTGTTTGAATAACAGCTTTTTTTCATGCAGATTGTATAGACAGAGCAGTTAAAAGAATGGCAGACAAAAATAACAATAGTTCAGATGGATTAAAGTAATATTTGAGGAGAGTGTTATAATGTTATACTTTTAACTATTTTCATACATAAATCTCAAAGCCTTTCTTTTGAGACATAGTAGTTTCCCCGGAAAACATTCACAAATACAGTTATATAACTAACTGACAGTTATAAGTTTACATCAGAATATGAATCTTAGTATTTTGAATGAGAAGCTGTAGTATGTCATACACATTGATACTAAGTAATTACAATAAACTTCAGTATCATAACACTGTTCTGCCTTGTTTGTAGAAAGACTTAACAAGAAAACTTTACCAAATTATCATAAACTTCAGTATCATAACACTGTTTTGCCTTGTTTGTAGAAAGACTTAACAAGACAACTTTACATAATTACAATAAATTTCAGTATTATAACTCCGTTCTGCCAATAAAAATACATTTTGTATATATATTAAAGTTTACCGTTACCCAAATTTATGTATTATATACTGTATAGTGTTTAATAACAACATGTAAAGGAAAATAATTTAAACCTGAAAACTTTTAAAAAAATGTGTGGCATGACAACTAAACTGAAGACTTGTACAATAACTGATTGGTAGTTGAGTAACTAATAAAACATGGACACCCACTGCTCTTGGATTAGTATTTAATATGCACTACATAGCAACAGTCTCCTGTGGGAAGAAGACAAATGAACTGGTTTAACAATAAACAGTCAAAAAACTAACTCATCACAAGAATGTGCACAGCCATCATAATAATTTAACCAAAAAATATATATTACTGTATATGAGGTATTATTACTTGTATTATATTATATATAAGGGATATTAGTTATAAAAATAATCTATCTTTTTTAAAGTCTACACTTCTTTAAATGTTGAACGATTTACTAAGTGAATTTAAATCACAATTATTGACATTCAAACTTTGGTCTTCCTGGAGAAATCCTTTAATGTTGTTTCAATATCTCTGTTCTGAAAAACACAACAAAGCAATCAGATAAAACTGTGACTTTAAAAACAGTTTAGACATGAATGCAGTTGAGAAAATGTATATTTTTTTACCTGTATCCTATCTATAGTTTATATATAAATCTCTATTTAGCACCCACATACAACACATATATCTAAGCCTAGATTCAACTATACTTGTATATAAAATATAATCCTTATGAACCTTTTACAAAAAGTACAAACTCAAAACAATGTTCATAACTAACATACAGAAAACAAAGAACCCTGCACACCCATCCATTACGAAAAACTTAAACCATTTATTTTTCCAAATAATTACGAATTCCCCTTCTTAAACTCCATGACACAACATACCTCTACAACAGCGCCTCAATCCAATGTCAATCAATCTCTTAGAAAAATATAACTATTTTTAACTGATCTGTTTGTGTACAAATCTTAAACATTTGTCCTGTTGTCTTAGGACCTTTGCTCTTTTTGATTTACATCAATGACATAGATGAAGGAATGGTAAATAAATCACTTAAATTTGCAGATCATATTAAGGTCTTGGGTGTTGCTAGATGTGAAGAGGATGCTACTGATTTACAAAAGGATTTAGATCATGTAGCGAGTTGGGCAATTAAATGACAGATGGGTTTTAATTATAATAAGTGCAAGATAATGCATATGGGTTAACATAATTTGAATTATAACTATAATTTGGATGGGAATAACCTTAGTGTTATAAAAGAAAGGGATCTTGGTGTAATTGTTGATCAGTCTCTAAAGCCATCCAAGCAGTGTGCTGTTGCTAGTGGTAGGGCAAATAGGATTTTAGATTGTGTCTACAGGGATATTGAATATAGGAGTAAAGAGATTATAATTTCATTGTACAGGTCACAGGTTAGGCCACATTTGGAATATTGTGTTCACTCTTGGGCTCCTTACCTTAGGAAAGACATTGAATTGTTGGAAAGGGTTTAAAGAAGGATTAAATAGAATGGTGCCTGAGATGAAGTGATTGTCATATGAGGAGAGGTTGAAAATCTCTCAAATTGTTTTCTCTTGAAAAAAGAAGAGTTAGGAGGGATCTGATTGAGGTGTTTAAGATTGTAAAGGGAATTGATAGTGTTGATGCATTTTCTTTTTTTCATGTTTAATAGTGAGAATAGTAGGACTAGGGGACACAAATATAAATTTTGGCAGGGTATAAGGAGTCATCTTCAGCTATGACAGTTTCATTTTTCTTTGGAATGGGTTGCCTTCGGATGTTGTGGAGGCAGTAAATTTAAGTGAGTTTAAGAGAAAGCATGATAACTATATGAATTATAAGGGCTAGTTATAAGATTTTTTAAAATTTATTTATTAATAGTTTTAGTCTAGATGATGGGACAGATGAGATGGACCAGTAGGTCCCTTGTTATCCCAAAATGTTACAATATTATCTTCGGTGTATAGGACATACAATTTGGAGGGCTCTATCTATTTTAACCACCAGATAATTTTGGAAACTTTAACAATATCACCTCTTACCCTTCTTTTCTTAGGATAAAACAATTCCTCCAATAAATTAAAATCCTTTTTTAGATAAGGACACCACAAATGAACACAATATTCCAAGTGAAGCCTAACAAGTTATTTGTACAAAGAAAGATAGTTACCTATTATGACACATAATCAAAGTATATAAATGCACCTTAAAATTCTATTAGCTTTGCTATTAGCAAATGCAAAATGATTTGATGACAAGTGATTTATCTATCACCATGCCAAGATTATTTTCTTCAATCACACTACCGAGCTGATTCCAATCTACAGTAGAACCTCTTTTTCTAATATTTGTAACCAAAATAAATCTTGCAATATGGGGAACTCAATATTCCAGATTAAGGGCAGTGTCTTTAGTTTCATTCTATATCAGTAACTCGATAAAGTGGGCAGTAATCCTGGTATGCCTGTACAGTATCCCACTAAATTCCAAATATTCCAGAGGGATGACCATTATTAAAACTCTTGCGATGTTTATTGGATCTGCTCCGAAGTAGTGTTAAGACAGCAGAGGTCACGTGACGCTAGTAACACGTCATGCACTTCTAGAATGTTCATGAAACCTCGAGAGGTTACTAGATGTGGTATCGTTGTACATATAAGACGGTCAAGAAGTGACGGCAACAATGTGTAATTGAACTACGACCAGAGAGATAGTATTGTTGAGTCGAGCACGTGACCCGTTCTTTGTGAATTATAGCGTTTGTTATAGTGTGACTGTGGAAATTAAGTGTATTGCAAAGTTGTATTAAGAAAGAAT